CACATGCCGGGCATGAACCAAGGATTTTCGCGCGCAGGGCATGAACTAAGGATTTTCGCGCGCAGGGCATGAACTAACACTTTCCACATGCCGGGCATGATCCTACTTAGTTAGATCCCAGGCTCCCGCGGAAATTATTCCTCCCGGCGGACCGAGCAATTACTGCGTTTCGGGCATTGAGAATTCATCTACATGCTATATGACCGTAAATAAACGGTAGCGTCGCATCGCGCAAACGATAAAGCTCAATAGCATCTGAGTAGCATGAAAAATATCACGGCCTGCCCAGTTAGCGAGAATTTTATATTACACTTACTGTGCATGTCACAAATGCGCAAATTACCGCTTAACGGTGACTTGTATGAGCCACAATCAGTGGTTAATCAATGTAGATTAGCATGAAATCGTCCTCTTGAAGGAGTTATACATAGCCATGGCATGAATTATGGCTTAAATTCATGCTTATGGCAACGATTGTGTGAAAATTGGATCAAAATTTTACTTTCTAACCCGTTTTGTTTATTGTTTCTTTTTCGTTTGTTTCTTTTTTTCTTTTCAGTCTATCTTGTTTTGTTTTCTTCTTTTCTTTGCTGTTGCTACTTTGTTTGTTGTTTTTTTTTCTCTTGAGATTTTCTCATATCAAGGACTCGCAAGGAACGCCTGTTACAAATGGATGGTTACGGCTCGGTCACTCAAGAGGGTCTCAATGGGGTGGTAGAAATAACGACTCACGGCTACAAATTTGTCGATTGCACGACTCACGACTAATTTTTTCGAATCACGGTTAACTAGATTACTTAGAAATTTTTGAAATACGTTTTTCATTACTTTTTCATAATTCGTTTTGTGCTAGAGAGATAGTGAGTGTGGGAGCACAGTGTCCCCTTGTTCATTATAGACACTAAGTTATTATAATTTGTTATCATCACTCTCAAATGTCAAATTTTGACAAAATTAAATGAACAGGAGTTTTAAAGTGTACAAGAAAAGTAGTATTTAAGTAAGGAAAGACGTTATATAAGTTTATTAGCAATCTAAAAAAAGATGTCGATTCATATTATAACTTTCTATTTCGAGAACCTTTGGTTTCTTGTCACACTTAGCGTGACGCTCGGCTCCCGCTCAATTAAGGTCTTTGATGCACTAAATGAGCGGGAGTTTTAAACTCAACACGATGACATCGTGACGAGAGGCCCCATAAGGCCTTTCGTCACATAAACGGTCTGAAAAGTGAGTAAATTTGCTAAGTTTGAAATTATCGAATGGAAATTCGTGAGGCCGCACAATCAAAAATTTCAAACTTTTTTCTGCTCTTATTGTTCAATAGATTTAAACAGAGTTTTGAAAAGCTTTGCAATTGTTTGCACGCGATTCCTTACTAAGATTTATCTTATCAAAGTTTCAGACACAGTCAACTCTAGCTTCTGGGCTATTCCTATAGACCTCCCCTCCCCACCCCCCTAAGACAACACGCTCGGAGAGTGCATGCATGGGCTAAGCAGGGGAGTTTGGAATTACGTGTTGCCATCCCCCATTAGGGAAATAGAGAGGCGCGGGGTATGGGAATGAGTAAAGCTCCTATCGACCCCCCTCCCCTAGTGACATTTTATTTTACGTCGATAATCCCGTATTAAAGGAATGCGTTTAAAACTTTGTAAAAATGTTTTCCTTTCTCCCCTGCTGGTASCGCTAAAATACGTTAATACAGAGAATCTGGAAAAAGTGTTTTGTAATGACGAACACCGCTAAAATAAACATAAAAATATACAAAAAGCCACATTACCAAAAAAAGGTGAGCACGTGTGAATTGAACCGCGTTATAACGATACTACGGAGAGCCAGAACTGCACCATAACAGAAGATAGATATCAACTATAATATCTTCTATCAACATTTGAACATATTGTCGTAAGTAAATATTGAGAAAAATAGTTACCAGCGTGGTTGTGTTTCTCCTGAGTTTCCAACTCCGTGTGAAACTGTTTATCCAACTGCGGGCTSTTTTTCAGCTCTCTGGTTCTTCTGCGTCGGCAACAAGTCATTTTATGCCACTACTCGAGTCCAGACGGTGTCTACAGCAACTTTAACTTTTATATTACTTCGAAACTTCGGCTGTAAAAATCATCTTTTACGGTAAAAACCGTTGTGYTCTTCTCGAAGACATGAGCTCACTGGCTCCACGTCCGCGATGTATCAAGTTCTACGCATATTTTCGAGTTGGATTAATTAAAGTTTGATATCGCATCAACAAATAGCGTGAAACTTGCTAATTGGTATTAAACGGTGTTGATTAGACAATAGAAATTAAAGTAATTAGCGTTACCTAGCACCTATTTTATCCCATTTTTGTTTCACGGATTACACACGTTTACTACCATATGATACAGCCTCGTCCGATCCGCAGGCATCACTAAGAGTCACGGGCTTCCTGTCTATTTTGGGAGTCAAAAGAGGGAGAAAGGGGGGGTGTGAGATTTTGGGCCTTCTTGTCACTAGTCCCTAGCGGTCAAGATGATCTATACAAAGGAAACCCAAAGAAGGAAAAAGATTAGCCCTGGAAGGGAACTGAAAATTTCAATAACAAAAYAGGATTCCCAAGCAACGGAAAATGGATGTTTTGTTGGAGACGCAAWGACTTTGGTTTCCTGTATGTGAATACACTAGACTACACTGAAATCACTAATTTGTTTAATTTGTGAGAGCAATTTATTAATTTTGCCTTAGCAATATAACTTAGACAACATAGCATTCACAAATTATTGACAATGACACCAAGCAACTAACACAAAGATTGCATTCATTGGTAYSTYGATTAAKATGTCACTTGGCTGCTTAAGTTAGCCATTGAGTGGAGTGTGATATGAGGGTGAATGCAGGCATTGGGATTTTGGACAGGATGAGCGCTAATAGAGGTATTAGACATGCATTGAACATTACATTTCTCAATAATTTTTAAAAATATGTCTAAGGCGTAAATCAAAATTATATTTGTTATACACCTCTATCCAAATCATTTCGTCAGAAAAAAGTTATTGTCAGATCACTGATGGATAATATTCATTGAAGTAACATCTTTTAATTTATATAATTTTTTGGTAGACATCCATCATGCTTTAAAACTATATTACTTGGTCTAGAGCATCAAAATTATCTTTTTAGAGCAAAACGGAGATACAGTGACAACACTGAACTGTTCCCTTTGTTTATTTGAGCTCACAGCCTTGTTTTTAACCCCCAAACATTCTCTAATTGAAGGTACAATTTGGAATATTGTTATTGTAATTATATTGTAGAAAAAAAGAACCAAAATTGTAAGAAGAGAAAAAGGAGTATTTTTTTATAATATAAAGCTTAAAAATGTGAACATATTTCAAGTGCCCTCACTGTAAAGTACATGGGAAACGACAACACAAAATAATATAATGTCAGAAAACTATAAGGGACTTGAAACATGAAACGCCTGTACATTTCTTTAGTACCAAGCGTTGGAATATTCAAAGCTCATTAAAAATTTCAAAAACGAACGTTATGACCATATTTGGAAAATTCAGCCTGGTTGGCTATAGGGTAAATTTAATTGTTCCAAATAAGGAAATGAGATGCAAATTAGATTTGATTATTCCAACAGTTGGCACAGCATTATACGTTGCAAGTCCCTTATAGGTTTCTGATAAAGTGTTATAGTAATAAAATGATTTTTAGCCCAGCGAAGATTTGCTTCACAATGAACACAACTCTACAGGTTCCTACAACATGAACAATGAACTAAGTCTGCATGTATAATTATTTTTCACAATATTCTATTAAATGTTGTTTTAAAAATACATTTTGTTTCTTTGTTTTTGTAGAACAATTAACAATTTTTGAGAATACTCCAATTTCGAGTTCTGGTTTGCTCTGTGTTAGCCTCAAAAACAAGTAACATATTCTTTTGTTTCATTGATAGCCAGAGAAAATGCATGGAATTTGTGAAGAAAGACGATAAAATTGATTTGAAATCTCACACTTTTATTCTCACAATTTGGAATATTTTTYGCACAARTGAGGCCAACACAGAGCATTGGAGAATTCAAAACTGGATGATTGTGGGTGATTTAAATGGAAACTATTGTAAATGCAYACATAAAAATCAGGTATTTTGTGGAATTGTTTCATATTTAGTGTWACATTTGGCCATAAAATACCTTGTTTCCATACTCATGCCTGAAACCTTTTTGAAAGTTTCTAACTCTATTATATCTAAGACTTATTTCATTACAAAACAAATAGTATAAAGTACATTATAGCCGTAGTATTTGACACCATGTAATACGTTACTATCTATTACAAKATGTATCGCAGCATCTGCTACAAGCCTATATAATTATATAATCATCCTTCTACGCAGACAAAAATTATTGGCCTTTCTTTGTAATAATATCTACACAGAAATCCCAAAAGACAGAAATCAACTGRGGARTATAGCAACACACTTTTAGTGTCTTCCATTATAGCATAATCTCTGAATAAAGGTGCAACTWTTGGAGTATTAATTAATTAATGTGTATTTTCTTTCTCCCTTCATTTTATTTTTCTTGGTTTCATTGTTTTGTAAACTAACGTATGTTAAAATAATAGTTTTACTGCACCAAATACCCCAATATAATCCATGAACAAACCAGATGAAATACTTATTAGTTGGTGCCATAGACACTCTCGTCGCTGTATGCTATGTATAAAAAGAAGTCTTCTTCGTGATGTTCCTGGTACAACTGACCCATTGTTGCACTTGTTGGCGGAATAACATTGTTAACGAAGAAAAACAAAGCGTCTTCAGCTCTGAGATGAATTCTTTTCCTTATGAGGAAATAGAACTGACCAACTGAAATACAAAAATGAACAACATGACTTCTTGGCTGACAAAATACTAAACATCACAGCCATCACCTACGACAAAAACAATATACTGACGCAGTGGACACTTGCTAAACATCACAGCCACCACCTACGACAGACAATTAAATATATCCCAACTCTAAAAACAATATACTGACGCAGTGGACACTTGCTAAACATCACAGCCACCACCTACGACAGACAATTAAATATATCCCAACTCTAAAAACAATATACTGACGCAGTGGACACTTGCTATTGAGGACACTAATTATGGTGGTCCTGAAGGTCTCTATAGCAACGAAAGATTGATTGCATTCAAAATAGTTAACACAAACAACAAAACCCTTTTTGTTCATGTTATAGAGAATAATAATATAGWYKAAGAAGCATGTATTTTACTGAAAATAAGTGCTGATCTTCTAATAATRAGGGTTTTTTTTTGTATCAGCTGTTTCAGCCATTTTTTAGGGGAGATTGGAWTTTGGATATTTTTCTCCAAGGCTTATTGGTAATCTTTGATCAAGATTGTATAATGTTTAAGGTAAAGTACCCTTATTACAAGTCAAGATTTTTACCTGTCAGGTCGGATGGTACAAGGTATTTCTTTTTATCTAAATCACCGATTCTTGCTTTTGGTGCTTTTTCGACTATGACCTGAAATRAAAATAATAGTGTYAATTTGTATTTTAACCCAGAAGKRAAGAAGAATCTACAAAGTTAAGATAGCTTAGGAATCCATCTCAGTCCAAGGTTAATTATAACTGAATATTATATTATGTATTAGAACTTTAAATCATGAATTCCACCAATTATGGCAGTTTCTCGATAAGGTACACTCAATAAAACTGCTTTGATAAAGAAAGAAAAAGAGATTGTTTCATTWTATATTTTTTGATGTTTCGACTTGATACAGGAAATGGCATCAATTCTTGGCATTAACGAAAAGTTTACATACGAATTGGTTTCTGAAAACTACCATAATTTTAATACACTATCATAGCTTTACAGACAACAAGCACACAATTAAACAGACACCATATCTATAAAAACAACCTAAAAACGCAACATATTTTCGTTTCATTGCTGCAATAATCAAGAAGGTTTTAAGAATAAATGTACAAAAACTATATTTGCATAAAAACATTCGACGTGTCTTCAATCGAAAGGATCCTATAAATTCCAAGCCTTACACAGGTCTTACGGACGTATAATGGCRATATATGGTGATACGATTTATTTTTTTAACGACTGTCGACGAAGTCTGCAAGAAACCATGACGCCATGTTTGTTCGCATGTTTTGCAAGTTYAAGGGGCGTCATCAACAGCAATAGGACTGCAAAACCTTCCTTAAACACACATAAATAAAGCTCCAACGTCTCATACAACGATTGAAACAGGGAATGATTCACTAAAACTGTCGACAAACTTCCTTCAGTGTGTCAAACTACAGCGAATAGTGGCCTGACCCGTTGCACAGTACAACTTACCGGGACTCTATCAGGATATTTCTTACGTATTTTTTCTCCTTCWGCTCTTCTCTTCTCGAAAGGATGCTCTTCTTTGTATTCCCACTTCATGAGGAATTCTTCAAAATAGCTTCTACCTGTTTTTTGTGTATTTTTTTGACAAAATTTTCTGAAAACCGGAACCTTGTTTGGGACAAAATGGCGCTAAATGAAAGCAACACGATGCGTCACGTGACTAGTGTTATTGGTGATAGATGACGTAATTCAACAGGATATTTTTAGTCTGAACGTCACCGGAAGTGAAATTTTTTCTGCATTTTCCTTTTCCATTTTCGTTCATTTTGTCTCATTTATTCCTCACTTATTGAATGACCAAAAATTTCAAGGAAAAATTACTGGAGRCTTTGAAGGCTTCTTTGCGTGGATTTTGTTTAATTTTTATTTTGAATGCTGCAGAATATAATGTTGAATCAAGCATTTCGGCTTCTTTTTTAATTTTCAATTTTTTTTAATTTTCTCCATATCTCTTTGGGCATTGTATCCTTCATGACATCGAAAACTTTTATTCAGCATTTGAAATGTTTTGAATCAGTATGGGTACCCTGTGTACTCGTCTCAGTTCTCCTTACACCTCACGGCCATAAATGCTTCGTGTTTTTCACGCTACAGATTCYCACAAACGTTTGTGTTTCTGTTTGCTGGTCAAAACACGACAAACATGGAGAAATCCGAAGTGGATTCAATTATAAGAGACATATTAGATACTCACAGAGGATCAGAGAAGAACAAAAAGAAAAAAACTACCAAATTTTTTAAGTTTATCAGCGGAGACGAAAGCCCACTCGAGGCRGTCCAGCTTGCTCTTGGTCGAAACGAAAAACTACAATATGCACAATATAAAGCCCTTACCGAAATMATGAAGTTTATAGAAAACTTCAACGAAAATAAGGTAAGAATCAGCTGTGTTTTGTTTTGATCTTAAGCCAGGGATCGTGTTTTCTTCTTACCTTGCGTCCAAGGTGTGAAAACACTGTCCTTGAACTATTTGACTTCGTCCGTCAATGATTTGCTTAATATGGATTGCAAGCTTTTGCTTGCATGAAATATTTATAAACTGGAAGTAATTTATGTTTCAAAAGTACGAAATCACCATTATTTCACTTTCTTGGTTCATGCTCCCATTAGAAGAAGAAATACGCAATGTTGACAAAAAGAGTTCCCAAATTATTTGTGAAAATCTGCTAATATTCGGGCAAATTTATGCCAAAACYTGTAATTAATATGATGTTTGATTAAATAGAAATCGTTTTGTTCAATCCTTGATGTTTTTTTACTCGAAATTTTGAATTGGTTTTGATGAATGACTGCCAYCTTTGTTRTGACTGATTTTGTATTTGGTTTTAAAGTGTTAAAACTATGATAAAAGTTTTTGTAGGATGTATGTTTGTATTTTATGTAGATAGTTCCTGTATTCAATCTTATCAATGCAGTGCAAAATATTAGAACAATTGGACAATACTCTCAAATTCTAAGTTTGAGCTGTCAAAATGTCGTAGGATCAGACTTTTTTAAAGTTATAGATATCTAAACTGGTCAAACTTTAGCTTTCATATATGTTGTGTCTGCCTGTTCATCTACCTACATTTGRAACYTCTAGCCTCATAAGGAACAACCAATTTTTTTTCAGATTGGAGAGTGTGTTGAGACTCTTGGCAGAATTCTTTTCCAGTGCAATCTGCTCAAAGTTCTTCAACGTATTCTACAACTACGACTACCAGACGAAAGCATCTGTCAAAATGTACCTTGGAAAATTGTCCACTACTGTGGATTGACAATCTTGACAACAGTTGTAGACTTTTCWAAAAAACTTGACCATTTCACCAAAACMCTWGTKGAAACTGATACTGTTGAACTGTTTATGGACTATATAGAAGGTAAAGATGATATAATAACTTGCTATCCAGCGGTACACGGGCTGGCATCTTTGTGTTGCAATAGTCTTGAGGCAAGAGAAAGAGTTATATTTGCAAATGGTTTGTCTAAACTTGGACATTATGTATACAAGGAYAACTGTCATAAACTTCACGTTAAGGCCTATAAGCAAGGCTTACAGAAGTATCAGATTGATGAACTTGACAGACTCAAACTRGTTCATCTTGGAAAGGAACATTTTAAAGGAGATATGTACGCAGGACGGCGTGATACTAACTACCACGTATTACTGAAATGGAGCAGAAAGATCCAGAAAGCTTCTGCACAAATAATTCTAAAGGTAAAATCTATTTATTTTAAATATAATGCTAGAAGTTTGTGACATAGTTATTTTTAGAGAAGAACATATCAGATAGTGCTCATTCTCATTAAACGTATTGATTAATGTATTTCAGATAGCAGAACAGAACGACCGACACAGAAAACTTGTTTTTGAAGATAAAGTTATATCAAAAGTAAGAGTGTATTTTTATGCAAAACATAGAGATCAACTTTACTTAACTGAACACCTGCATTCTGAATACTTTACAATCTCATCCAGATATCCTGCTGATATTGAAGTGTTATTATTTATCACAGGCTATTATCAAGTGGATTAAGTCACCAGCGATCTTAGGAGGAGAGGTCGATATGATTGACATGTCCCTTCAGATGATTGCCACACTGTCAGTTAACCAGGAAATAGCCAATAAATTTGTGAATGAATACAACATTGCACAATACCTTGAGTATGGAGGTATAATATGAATGAATGTTTTATTATAATAAAAAAGTATAATAACTTTTGTTGATACACAGCCAAAAAGTTGTTGTTATGACTTATTTTGATAAACACAGCAAGCATTCCAGACCGCGATCTCTATCTAGCCTATACGAGTGTTTACCTACAACTATGTACCATGGGAGGGTCCCCTAGAGAAGTCATTGGTAACAGTGAGGTAAGYATTGTTTTTTATCCAAATTAATAGCTAATATAAATGATTGATTTATGATAATCAAAGATAACTATTAGTTTCTTTTAGTCCTCATGACGTCAGTAAATTAATAGACCAATCCCGCATTCGCTTGGATGAACACGTAACTATGGCTTCATTTCGAGGATGGAGTTTTATCTTTTGTCGAAAACTCCAGCCTTGAAGTGAAGCCATTGTTCTGTGTTCATCCAAGTGAATTCAGGATTGGTCTATTGTTCAACTATTTAGTATGTGTATAATATTGAATTAGGCTCCATGTTTACATGATGTAAAAAAAAAAAACATTATAAAACATTATAAAAGATATTTAGTAATCCTTATTGTGTCATTTGACAGAAAATTCTGCAAAACTTAGCCATATTTGTTCACTCTCATGATAAGAAGGTAAGAACTTTTTTTTATTTTTACTAGTCCAAGTTTTCTTCCTTCACTTTTCTCCACATTTAGTCATCTTTACATTTTAACATTATAATAATGTTTTTGTGTTACTATTCCAGATGAGAGAATCTGTTTTGAAGACACTAGTGCGGCTAGTGAGCTTTGGACCAGACTATGCAACTAAAGTCATCCAATGTGGCATCAAACCAAAGACACTGATGTTGCTATCAAGCTTTTATGAGGATGATGTAAGTTTGAAATTAGAGTGCAAGTCACATAAGCATGAAACAATTCTTAACTATGTAGTGCTAAATAAGATTTAGTTATCAACTAACTAAGAATTGAGAACAATGCTACAAAGGAATTTAAATAATTGGCATTGTGCTTATGCTGTTGAATTCTTAGTTAGTTGATAACTAAATCTTATTTAGCAATACATATTAAGAATTGTTTCATGCTTATGTGACGTGCACTCTACTTGCCTGACCAGGAAATATATGTTTCAGACCAGGATATGTTTTTTGACCAGGAAATGTTGAAGGAATGTTGAATATCAGTATTTATTGACTATTCTTAATAAAATTCCAGTACAGATGGGAATAGCCTTGTTCCTAAGATAGAAAAAACAGAAGAACAGTCAACTTACAGATAGATTTAAGGTTAAGCCCTCTTGCATTGGAATTTTCCTGCTTAAAGYAATAAAAGTGTCAAAATGTCAATGAAWATATCMRATTTGTTTGATTGTGTTTGGCATTCAAATGGTTCTCATTTGGCATGAATTTMATGRGTGATTATTATTTTTTCAGAATGGCTACTGCAAGACMCTCAAGCAAGCCCTCAACAGAGGAKCATCAAGGYGASTCCATTACAATGTGGATGTTCAGTTATTTAGTAAACTCTGAGATATTAACATTCACAATAATGTTCATGATATTACAATCTGGGCTAAGAGAATGAACAGAGCATAAAAATAAACAGAGACTTCAATGTACACTAGGCATAAATCGTTATTGTTTTTTTTACGCTCAGTTGGCCTCAATTCCTTGGTCAATGTCTTCCTCCATTTACTAAATAAAGTATAAAAATTGTCTGATATTTCCAGGCTGTGGAAAAAAGAAGAAGGATTGTTTGATAAAACACCACGTGAGTTCTTGCTAACTCTCGATGCCGACCAAGCTGTACGACTAAAAGATATTGGCAATGATAAATTTAAGAATGATGAGTACTTGGAGGCTATTGTCTTCTAYTCAAAAGCCTTGGATGTTTGTCCTCCRGCAGAAAAGCAGCAAAAAGGAGGAAGTGAAATTTGGAAATGGTAATTAATGGAGTTAATGCATTGCTGTTTAYATTARTTACTTTYCTGTGCTTTGTTGGCTCTGGTAACCATGCTTTAGACTCCAAAAATGTCAACATGGCACCTAGTTTTAATTCAACTTATTTACCAATGTGCGAAGTAGTATAATAGATATCTAACTAAGCTTTATTGATTACTTGTCAAGGTGGGTCACACCAGCAGCTCTCTATAGCAACAGAGCTCAGTGTTACTTGAAAACACAAGACTGGCTATCAGCRCACTTAGATTGCACACAGGCCATAGCTAGATGTATGGAAGGTAGGTCTGRTACTAATGGATGGATGGAGGGATAAATGAATGAATGATTGGATAGAAGGGAAAGTAAATGAATGGATAAATGAATAGAAATGCCAACTACATGTATTTTGTGAATAAACATCCATAAGAAAAATGAACCAAGAATTATCAGCCATTGGTATTTTACAGATGATCCSAAAGCAGCCAGTCTTCTTACTAAAACTGTATATCGTCGAGCCAAAGCTCTGATGGAACTTGGACACTACCACGAGGCATTAAATGATGTAGCAGTATGCATGCGCGATAATAACTACAAAAACGACGACATAGTATCCTTATATAGACAGGTATGTTGCTTGTCATAGTTCCATCTTCAATTGTTTAATTCACATATCAATGGTTCATTGCAAAATTCCACTTAAAATAACATTAGCTTTCATTTTAACAAGATGTCTGTAAAATCTTTCAGATCCTRGTCAGGTACCGTCAGTATGTCGGCCTGGAACCAATAAGGCGTTGCGCTGTTTGTTTGGAAGGTGAAGGTGAAAAGCTAAAGAGATGTGCTAATTGTAGTGAAGTGTATTGCTCCAAGGAATGCCAGGTTTTTGGATGGGACAAYGGACACAAACAATATTGCAACGTAGAATAAAACAACTGAAAATTAACCTACAAAATAATACACTAGCCTTGCATTGTAACCTAAAATCAGATGGCTTAAGAGATGGCCTAGTTCAAAATAGTACATTGTAGAGGTGGATTGATCATTCAACAAGAATTCCTTCAAAGCTTACAAGCTTTTACCCATGTTASCATGGTACAAACCATCTTACCTTGCCATCAGCAAGATTTATCRTTATTGAAATGTTACAGTTACAGTAAAATTATATTTCTGGGCCAGGTTGTTCAAAGCCCGATTAGTATTAATCCAGGGTTAACTCCTTAATTTTTCTAGTTAACCCTGGATTAGCACTTATCAGGCTTCGAACAACCCAGCCCTGTAGTTTGAGACAAACTAGTTTGATTTCAATTATCAGGGTACAGATTATTATCGTGTGATGTAAATTTATATTTAACTTTAAGTTTGTGAAAATATTTCCATCAAGTGGTGTTGTTAGTTTTATTCATAACTTTTTGTGAGGATCCCGACAGTCAAGGATCCCTGTGTTAGGAAAGAGGGATCCTTACAAAGGTGTCTGAAAATGTTGATATTGTAATAATTAATAGATTGTTATTGCGCACAATAAAAGTAACTTCAAATAGAAATGTTCTTTTATTTTACATAAGTTTTTCTAMTGTACTATTCATTTTTTACACTATATACACAACTTGTAAAACAGCACCAAGCTATTRTCACAAAAGAGCAATTTTCTTTGTCATTATAAGAGCTTACAGAATATTGCTATCATCCAAGGCTTGTTATTCATTCCTCTTCTTAATGGCAATTGTAAGTAGTTCTTGAAACTCTTATCGAAGTCTTCTATACACGCTATTATACACCATCGAGCTCTATGGTAGGAATATCATCATGTATACTCCGCCCACTCTACAATAAATTATATACAGAAAGAAAATTAGGGAAAAAATGTTTATTGAGTTTGGGACCCCTTTGTAATACTCTGACTGAGGAAGACTTGGTCCAATGAACAAAACTAGTATTAGGCTTACTGATARAGAAGGGAACCTCTTATGTCTGAAGAAATAGATATTTGGAATAAGTGGAGGCCATGCTTCATAAAAAATGTAATGGGTTTCTTCCTGTGTGTAGACAAAACATGACCGTGGGGGTGCGGGAGGGGATACTCACTCTACTTGATTCAAGTGCYTGTAGTTTGAGTGCTGTGCTATTTAACTCTCTGTCAGCTGAACGAAGCTCCTGTAAGACAACAAGATAGTATTAGGATATTTCTATGTTTCCAATACTGCACTTTGGTCTTTGGTATATACCCCTTTTAAACCTGACAACGTTTTYGAAATAGTTGTATCATTAAACAGGAAGTAGGATGATAGACAACGTACCTTTTTTARAGATTCTATTTCGTAATTTTTTCGTTTCATTTTTTCTGTAGCTTTTTTCTTTTTCTTCTCTTCCTGAGAAATTAAAAATCATCACAGTTTATTAACTTGATGCTTTTTTTGTTAAGTTGGTTAAGGTTTGTTAGGTGATAGTTAAGTACGTAACGGCTTTTTTACCTGATATYTYGTAAATTCGTCTTGATAACAAGAGTGAGCGGTTTGGTGATGATCACGATCTTCATAATCCATCGCGAATTTCTGTCAAAAGAAATATTTCTTTTTACAAAGACTGCGGTGTACCAAACATCTATCAGTTTGAACACTTCCATGATATATCAGCATCATTAAAATTCAGCCTACGCCTCGCCCTTAAGTCCCTCTCACCTTTCGTTCCTGTAAGCATTTATTTAATCTCCGTTGTTGGTCGAGATCATCTCTCGTTCTCGACAGCGATTCACGAAGGTAAGCAATCTCTTCCTGACGATCACGYACATCAATCTACAAACAAACACGTGATATTCATGACATATGCTTATTGAATCAAAGACTCGCTCGCTCGCTATCAAATCTGCACAATATAAGGATGACTTTATCTAGCTTTATCAAGCTACAAGCCCCAGAATGATAAATATGGGTGAGAATGGGAAGAGTTTCTCTGTGATTACACTGAAAATGCCCCTGAAAATGCGCCCCTGATACAAGCAGTGATGAAGGTGAATATAACTAACCTTTAGTCCCTTAGCTTCAGCTGTTTTTTGACCAGCAATRGACTTTGTTTCTCTAGAAAGAACAGTATATATTGAAAACTCAATGATATGATAACACCACATCTATTTAAAACTTTACAAAAAACGTTTCTAAGATTCAACGAATCACTAAAACAAACTCAACAGCTGATTGAAATATGTGATAATTTGGGGTTCCTGTGTTATGATTAAAACAGGTATCCCATCATACCTTAGATGAACGAGATCGTCTTCATATCCACCAAGTAACTTCTCTTTCCTCTCCAGTCTCTCGTGTAAACGCTTCACTCGGTTCACCATCAACTCCACAGCCTGAAATGAATAAAAACGAGTATTTACGGGGTCACATGACACATTATTAGACTCTCTAAACGCATAATGGTTAGCAATGCTCTTAGCACAGTTAATTTATGATATTGCAACTGACCTCATCTCGTTCTTGCTCTAGTCTCTCTCGTTCTTCTATTGGTAAGTATGCCATGGACCGACTTCCTGGTAAAGGGTCGACTTCCAGCAACGATGCCAGGGCACGCGCTAACTTAAGGTACTGGACAAAAAACAAATAGCATAAATACATTATGAGTATATACCTATTTCAAAAAAGGTTGTCGGATAAAATGGCGAATGGGAATTGTCAAACGGCGATTGTACGACCGNGATTGACAGCTTAGATGGTCGACCAATTGATCTTTGATTGACTGATAAACTGTCTGACTGACTGTCTGACTATTCGATTGACTGACTGTCTGACTGATTGACTGCTTAGATGGTCGACTGATTGATTGACTTGATCTTTGATTGATTGATAAACTGTCTGACTGATGGACTGACTATTCGATTGACTGACTTGATTGACTGACTACCTGACTGATCGACTGGCTGTCTACCTGATCGACTGACTGACTGTCTACCTGAGCGATTGACTGACTGTCTGACTGATCGATTGACTGACTATCTGAATGATCGTCTGACTGACTGACTGTCTACCTGTGTACCCGAAGGAAGAACCCGCACGTAGAGAGTTTCTTGTGACGGTCGTCTGTCTATAACTGACTGACATGAAGACTTCTTGGTGACTACACTGTCTTCCTGTAGTAACAGCAAAGCATGACTAATCACCTCATCTGTACTACAATTTTTTATATCACGACAACTTTCTGTACTACAATTTTTTATATCACGACAGTTGTCTGTACTACAATTCCTATATCACGATAGCTGTCTGTACTACAATTTTTTTGTATCATGACAGTTGTCCATACTACAATTTCCATATCACGACAGTTGTCTGTACTACAGTTTCCATATCACGACAGTTGTCTCTACTACAGTTTTTTATATCACGTCAGTTGTCCATACTACAATTTCCATATCACGACAGTTGTCTGTACTACAGTTTCCATATCACGACAGTTGTCTCTACTACAGTTTTTTATATCACGTCAGTTGTCCATACTACAATTTCCATATCACGACAGTTGTCTGTACTATAATTTCCATATCATAACGCATATTAGCTAATACCTCTGTATGCATTTCTGACTCCGTCTTGTGATAATCCTCTTCTTTGTTGGCGATGGATGCCCTTAGTTCGGACAACTCGTTTTTAAGAGCGACAATTTGCTGTAATGACTGCTCGTGGCTTGGTACTATAAAAAATAGGGTGTTAAATCAACATGCAATAGTCTGTACTCGCATATTACTATTACTGTGACTTACATGGCGGTTTAAGTTGTTCCATGATCTTAGATTTCTTTCTCAAGTCCATCAAAGCTTCTTTCTGTCGTGCGATAACCAGATCATGTCGCTCACCACGACAACGCATGCCGACCTTGTACAAGTCTGTTGTATTCTTGTTCTACAACAACGTTTACTTGTCAATTTATTTGTCCAATATTTCATCATTTAAGTCATCCACTTGATTTTACTTCAGCTCGCACAATACTCAATTCAGTCAGTCATTTGTCCATTTTATTTGCTCATTCATTTTTTCATTCATTCAGTCAGTCAGTCATTTGTCCATTTATTTGCTCAGTCATTCAATCATTCATTTTTTCATTCATCCATTCAGTCAGTCATTTTTCCATTTATTTGATCAATCATTCATTTGCTCATTTTTTCATTCATCCATTTCCCATCCATTCATTAGTCAACTGAATATTACGCACCTCTTTTTCAATTTGTTCCATATGCGCAGCCTGATCTTCCACCGCCTTCTCCAGTTTGTCAGTGTACTCGACTAACTGCATGTTCTTCTTGACTGAATCTTTGTGATGTTTAACTATTTTGGCTTCATTTTCGTTTAGTTTTCCTTCTCTATCCTCAATCTGTCTCTGCTGTTCGTCAACCAACATGGATAATTGCGCTAATTGTTTCTTTTGTTCTTCAAGTTCGCAGTCTTGATCTTTGATCCTTTCCTCTTTTTCTTCGAGTTTTTGTTTTTGTTTGTCGTCCAGTTCGCCGGCCATGTCGGACATTCGTGCCGAAGCCCCGGCCAGATCTCGGCGAAGGGCTTGGACTACATCTGCTTGAGCTTGMGCTTCCTTTTTAGCCTGGCTTGCTTCTCGCCTGTAGGAAGAAGGGAAAGCATTTGGTAAGGAAGAAAGGAACAATGTAAAAATGAAGAGACGACAGCAACGACGCGGGGGAATGAAATGAGAGAAGGAAAGGGAAGAAGGGTCACACGACTTGAAATAAAAAAAGAGAAAAGAAAAAGGGAAATAAAAAAGGAAGAAAGATAGACAGCAACAATCAATGAAACAACAWTAGTTACCTTAACAAAAGCACCAACTGTTCAAGCTTATAAACGTCTGATTTAAGCGAAGCCTCAACATTGGTCTGAGGAATCGTCTCAGTCTCTACCGATCGAGTTTGCTTGGGCTCCTTCTTAGGAGACTGGGGTCTTGTTTCCTTTCTTGGTGAAGGTGGTCTTTCTTTACGTGGAGACGACGGTCTGTGTTTTCCTGATATTGGAAACAGAGATAGCTATAACAATTGTATCTATGAGGATCATACACAGGGATCCCATACCTCCTTGTTTGTAGTACGACAGCTCAATTTCTAGTTGCTTGTTCTGTTTGGTCAGCAGTAGCAGACGGTCTTCCATGGCAACGATGGTACGGGCGTGTTGACGTGTTTGTTCCTAAGCAACAAATAAGTATTGTTTGTCAGTGCTTAGAATCTCAATTAATATCTTGTTCCTTTTTGCATTCATGTTTTCTATATTTATCTATCTATGCATCCTGTTTAATTCATTCGTCCATCCAACATTTTTATCCACCATCCAATATTTCATTTATCCACCCAT